TGTGCCCAGCACCCAGTGAGAGCAACCATTGGCACCAGTTACTATGGGATGCTAACTCTTTGTTTGGTCAAACTGTGAAGCTTTCACTTTTTTTTTTTTTTTTTTTTTAATTTCTAATCTTGTTATTTCACAGCCTTAAAATGGCTGCATTTTAGGGATTCTTTTAAAAAATATATATTTTGTTGATTTTTTATAGAGAGGAAGAGAGAGGGATAGAGAGTTAGAAACATCGATGAGAGAGAATCATCGATCAACTGCCTCTTGCACATCCCCTACTGGGGATGTGCTCGCACCAATGTACATGCCCTTGACCGGAATAGAACCTGGGACCTTTCAGTCCGCAGACTGACGCTCTATCCACTGAGCCAAACCGGTTTTGGCAGCTTTCACTTTTGATCTTGGCTTCCTAACATCCCCCCAGGAAGACAATTCTTCCCATAGTCCCGCTGTGATCGTGGCCTTGTGGCGCGCTCAGATGGAAAGAATGCATATTGTTTTCATTCTGAAGCAAGCAGGCTGAAGGCCCCTCACTTGGAGGAAGAGGAAGCAGGAGGGGCAAACATAGGAGAAATGTGACAGGCAGATAAAGGGGGCCAGTAAGTTAGGGTGGCAGGCTTCCAGGTCACAGACAGTGGCCGTGGAGAAGGGAGGGTGTGCAGAGCTCTGAGGCTGTGAGGTGCAGTGCAAGGCTCCGTCACCGGTAACTGGGAGGGTGTGTGTGGGCACAGAGCCCAGCCTCCTCTCTGGAGGCACACACGCCTTCCCTCCCCTCTCCTGCCCCCCCTCTGCTGGGGCTGGCCATGAGCACTTAACTAGCTGAGGATCCTCCTAAGTATTTTACCGCTTTCCTCTTGACCTTGTAGAGAGAGTTTTGTGAATCTATCAAGTGGGTTAAGTTCCCCAGAGAGACATTTCAATTCTTTGTTCTTTAGTCACTTCAACAGGCATTTTTTCAAGTACCCACTTCAGCAGGGGCTGTGCCAGGCACTAGAGACCTCCCGATCACCTAGGACTGCATGGTTTGGTGGGGACACTGAGTCAGCCAGCACAGCTAACGCAGGAGGACAGACAGGCCCTGCTGTCAGGCTGCCCAGGTCCACATCCCTGCTCCGCTCCTGGCTGTGGTCTCTGGGGCCTTCGTGCCCTTGTCTGTAACATGGAGTAGACTTGGTGAGCAGAGTGGATCCAGAGACATGAAAGCATGGAACAGAGTGTGGAATCTCAGAGGGAAGGCAGGGGAGGGTGAAAGATAATCAACCAAAGACCTTGTATGCATATATGCATAACCCATGGACACAGACAATAAGGTGGTGAAGGCCTGGGTGGGGAGGGGAAAAGAGGACATATGTAATACTTTCAACAATAAAGATTAAAAAACAACAAAACAAAACAAAAAAATAAAATGGAGTGGAATTCTGTCCCATGTGGGCGTTGAGGGTTAAGTGAGGCATGAATACAGCCTGTAGAGCAGAGCCTGTCTTTAGTAGTGCTCAGCGATATCGATATCATTTTTTTAATATATTTTTTAATATATATTTTATTGATTTTTTTACAGAGAGGAAGAGAGAGGGATAGAGAGTTAGAAACATCGATGAGAGAGAGGCATTGATCAGCTGCCTCTTGCACACCCCCTACTGGGGATGTGCCCGCAACCAAGGTACGTGCCCTTGATCGGAATCGAACCTGGGACCTTTCAGTCCGCAGACCGACGTTCTATCCACTGAGCCAAACCGATTTCGGCCAATATCATCATTTTAAGTGTCTGATTAATATGAAAGCATAAGGGCTGTAATGGACTTAAATAATATCAAGAAAATTCTGTGCCGAAACCGGTTTGGCTCAATGGATAGAGCGTCGGCTTGGGGACTGAAGGGTCCTGGGTTCGATTCCGGTCAAGGGCATGTACCTTGGTTGCGGGCATATCCCCGGTGGGGGGTGTGCAGGAGGCAGCTGATCGATGACTCTCTCTCATCGATGTTTCTAACTCTCTCTCTCCCTTCCTTTCTGTACAAAATCAATAAAATATATTTTAAGAAAAGAAAGAAAGAAAGAAAATTCTGAGCGACAAGTGATCAAAGAACTCCCAGAAGTGGCTTTTTTGAGATGGATCTTAAAGGATTAGAGGGACTTTGTCAGGAAAAACAGTTGTGAGGCTGTGGGAAGAGGCGGGAAGTCACAGTTGTGAGTGATGAGCATGGCTCAGTCTGGGGACAGCTGCTGCCCATGAGATCCGGAGGCCGAGGGAGGACTGGGGTGGAGGTGCGGGGGTGCGGAGTGGGGAGTTGCAGGGGCACTTGGTCTGCATAGACATAGATCCCAACTGCTTTGGGCTTGGACCTGCTTCATTTGTTACTTCTTGTCTCCAAAGTAGATTTAGAAGTGCTCAGCATTTTAATCCATCCTCCCTTCCCTGGGCAGTGAAACGCCAAGTGTACTCCTCTACCTGCCAAAGCTATTGAGATTTTAGGGACTGAAAAAGCATATTTGTCTTGCTGTCCCCACGCTGTCAGGTGGGGGGGACATTGGCCACCACTTCCCATCAGGAGCCCAGCAGACAGAGCACAGGCCTCCCATCCGCGCTCCACTGAGGGTCCCAGGTCGTGGGAGCTCACAGAGGAGCAATAGCGGCGTTGAGTTTGCTCTTGTCTCTCTTCTGCCCGTCCCACACTGCCCCAGGGCGGGGCCGGAACCCTCCCGGCCAACCCAGGGCGTCTGCGCCAGGGGAGCCAGTGGCGCGCTGCCTGAGGCTCTGCTGAGTCAGCCATTGCCATCTGGCATCCCCTTGCTGTCCAGAGCTCAGTCCCGACGTCATGGATGTGCCCTGGATGGCTCCGCCCTTTCCTTCACCAGACAGAGAACACCGGGTACTCACCGTGCCCGCGCCGGGCCCTGGGCGCGGTTATGAATGAGACAGATGCCAGCCTTGGCTCTGTGGGGCATATAAGGTGGCAGAGAGACACGGAATAAACCACCGCAGGTGTATGCATCGGGGCTGAGGAAGAGGGATGTCGCTGCATGCAGGGGCAGAGGGGAACCTGATCTTCAGGGGTGATAAGGTCAGGAAGGGCCTCAGGGAGGGAAGCAGACTCCGGTATCTGAGAATGCTTGGGGCTGACTGGGGAGTCCTCTCCACCAAGCTGGCTCACTCCTGGACCCAGTGGGCTTCCCCGGGCCGTGCCCCCCTCAGCATGCCTGTGCCTTTGCTCTCTGCCTTAAATTTCTTCCCTCCCACCTGAGTCCTACGTTTCCTCCTCCCCTTCAGACACTCGTTGTCCCCTCTGCGGGCTCATCTTGCTCCTCACACACAATCCGAGGATGGCCTTGCTCACAGAGGATGGCCTTGCTCTCCAAGCCAGAGGACAGTGCTAGTCTAAGGCCAGGCTGGGGGGAGGCCGAGCTGGCCAGGGCCCCAGCCGACACCAACCAGTCTTCAGAGGCTTTACTCCTTGACGGTCATGGGACTGCTCTGTGCACTGGTGTCCCATCTGAGAAAGCGATTCCTTTAACTGAGAGGCCTGAGGACTGAGGCGATGCCCGTGTACACGTAGGGCCAGGCCTGCGGGAGGCAAGGGTGCACAAACCCTTTCCCTGTCAGCGTCCCAGAAACGGGCTCTGTTCAGGCACCCGGGTTTCCCTGGCAGCTGAGGCAGGAGGATGTCAGCGTGCTGCTGGCCACAGCGCTGTGGGGACGCTGATCACTCCGCGGTAAAGTGCCTCTGGACTCCGAGTTTCCTGTACGACCGCTAAACACTGAGGAGGGAGCCAGGGCTTTGGGGTGCCCAATTGAAGAGCTTCCTCGCAGGGGCCCTGGAAGCTCTGTCTGTGGTGCTCACAGGAGATGCTGGCTCCTGTGGGGTGGAGAGGCAGTGCGCCTCCTGTGCCCACTCAGTTTGCACCTGAACTGACACCTGGGTGACCTTATCTGTCAGGTGAAAGGAATAAACTCTTTCAGCGCCAACATCCTGTCAGGTCATACATTTAAAAATATCCCTTGTAACCTACTATGTGGCAGGTGCTAGAAATACATTGTTAAAATAAAACGCATCCACTCTTGTCTCCTGAACACATTCCAATGGGGAGATCCTGTCCATCAAAGCATCACCCAAACACTAGTGAAAGAGCATCCTGATCAGACGCACACTGATTGTGAAGGGGGAGACGGGTGGTGGTAGGAGAGGGTGGGGAGGACTGACCAGCTGGAGGTGAGGAAAGGCTTCTGTGACCAACTCATGATGGAGCTGGGATCTGGTGAACAGGCGTGGGAACCAGACACAGCAGGGGAAGGAGATTCCAGAAGGAGACCACAGCCCAGGCAAAGGCTTGTGGGGGGAGGGAGAGGAGTGAGGTGAAGAGAATGAGGTCGGGTGGGGCTCTGCCAGGCAGGCCCTCAGAGGCAGGGCTGAGAGTCAGATTCCTTAATGACCGGTGCAGCCCTGCATGCGGGCAGAGAGCTGCCGTGAGAGCTGCTGCCCAGCAGTCACGCTGGTGTTATTTTTGCTTCTTCGTCTTAAGAGCAGCGAGAAGCAGGTCAATGCGGGTGGGGATGCGTGTGGCGTGGCTTGAGTGGATTTACAATTGGAAAACCGACTCCGGCCGCAGGATGCTGAAATCAAGCCGGAGAGGCGTGAAATTAGAGGGAGCTTTTAGTGAACGGGTTTCATGGGGAAGGAAGCCCACCGAGCCTGTGGCAGGCTCATAGAGCATCTCGGGGGTTGGCAGCAGGAGAGCAACGGTTGACCTTTCATTTCAGGGGTCTTTCTGTTGGCTTCCCACCCCACCCCATTTTTGGTTTCCATGACCCCAAATCAGCCTTGTAGATTGTAACCTTGTAGAGGTTCCTAAGCACATCCCAGCCAGGAGCGGACTTCAGGGCATTCGGAATCAATAAGTCAAGCCCTCTGCAGCACTTTCTGTAGCTGAGAACTTTGCTGCCATTGAATACAGACATTTCCCATCATGAATGAAAATCACATTTCTCCTTTTCTCTCTCTTCCCTCCAGGCTTATATTTGGCACCCTTTACCCTGCATATTATTCCTACAAGGCCGTGAAGTCAAAGGACATTAAAGAATATGTGAGTAGCACTTTGGGGAGTGAACTGGTGGGAGGAGGTGGGCTCTCTCTGCTGTGGGCACTGGCAGCAGGCAGAGGAGTCCCTTCATCACTCTCCTCATGAGACTTATGTGATGTGGTCCAGGGATCCTCTCCCGTCAACACTTCCTCTTTAGAACTAGCGTGCAGAAATGGGGACTGCAGGGAGGTACAGCGAGAGGAACCGAGGTCCCCAGTCCTCCACGTGCCACTGTGTGGCCTGGGCTGAGTGATTCCACCTCGAGGAGCCTCAGTTTCTTTGTCTGGAAAACACTGTGACCAGAATACAGTGTTATTGGGAGCCCTGGGGCAGGAACAAGGGTTCTGGGAGCAGCTGACCTGGTTCAGCTCCTGGGTCTGGGACTCGGGCTCTGTCCTGTGATTCAAATGCCCCAGGATGGAAGCCCTATCTACACAAATAAAAGAGTAAGATGTAAATTGATCATACCTTCATGATGCCCACCAGTCAATCAGGAGTGAGTATGCCAATTAACCCAAAAGATGGTGGGCTAATTTGCATGCACAGGCTGAGTGACCGGGACACTTTGCGTCATTGCTATGGCGATGAGGCAGGCATTCCACACGGCCTCAGCTGCTCCAGGCCTCTGGGCAGTGTGGGAAGGTATAAAGGCAGCTCTGGCAGGAACAAAGGTGGTGACAGCAGCCAGGGGAGGGAAGCCCATTCTTGCACAAATCTTTGTGCATCAGGCCTCTACTTGCTTTATAAGCTTTTAGAGGGCAGGAGTTGTTCATTATTCTGCAGCTATTATCCCACAGCACCTAGCACAGGGCTGAGCACGTGCAAAGTAGCTCCTTGGCTTGGAGGATGTATTATTATTATTATTGAGTGACTGGGGAGCCATGGTCACGGCCCTAGATGTGCTGGGCACTCTAGACAGAACCACCAGAACACCCTGATTGACAAAGACCTGCAGGGGCCGGATTGAGGGAAGGAGGGTCACCCAGGTCAAAGTTCAAGGATGTGGATTTCGTCATCAGGAGCCTGAAGTCAAGTCCTGGCTCTGGCGTTTGCTTGATGCAATGCGGGGCGAGAAGCTGGCTTCCAAGAGCCTCCTTTCTCCACCTGAGCTGTGGGGTGAAGAGCAACAGCTCTGACCCCTGTGACGTGAGGGACAGAGGGTCTTCGCTCTCCCTCTTTGACTCAGAGTGTCCCTTGGCGAGTCTGGCAGGTAGAGAAATAACTCAGAGAGGGTTGGAAACATCATCATTTCCTTTCCAAGATTTCCCAGGACATCTTTATGATGAAACCAGCCCTCTCCAAGCCAACTGCATTTACCTCCCTCCCTCCCTCTCAGTTTCCTAGAACTGCTCGCCTAGGCTTGCCTTTGCTATTAAGTGGGGGGTCCAGACAGGGCTGGGTTTTCCCCAGAGACGGGGAGCCTCAGAGGGTGAGCTGTAAAGAGCTGCTAAGTTATAAGCGCAGAGCCTCCTGAGTCTCCGTTGACCTGGCACAGGGGTGAAGCATGAGGCAGCCTCTCCAGGTCTCCCTTCCAGCACAGGGCGCAGGGCAGCTGTGCCAGGTGAGGAGGCAAAGTGGGGGTCACTGTGGTTCAAGGCCTGATCGGCTTTGCAGAGGCAGGAACTTGGCTCTGGCAACTCTTCTGGGAGAGATCAAAGCCTGGTAAATTGTTTTGCTCTGACCAATCTCACAGGGGCGAGCCTGCTTTGTATCTAGAAGGGCAATTCATAAATTCAGAGTGAAACATAACTGACAACAGAGCAGCTGTGTGTGTTGGCTGGTGAACACATGTTTCCCGAAAGGAAAGCTTGCGAGTCAAGAAAATGGAATTGGAAGAAAGGAGCTGACTAGTATTAGGGAGACTGTCACACTCACACGTGTACACTCCCTTCTCTTCTCCTTTTGACCATGGATCCATTTGTCCAAGGGAGAACTGGGACTTCCCTTGCATCCCTGCCTCTCCTTCACCACCCAGCCATGCACACACCCATTTGGCAATCATGTCCTTTGTCCCCTAATGATCTTTCAGACCAGGCCTCTCCTCTTAATGAGGTTGTCATCGTTTCCTCCCTGGAATGTAGCAATAGCCGCCCCTGCTAGTTTTCATTGCTGCTGTAACACATTGCCATGAATTTAGGGGCTTACCACAGGCAAGGCCCTAGGGGAGAATCCACTTCCTTGTCTTTTTCAGTCCCTGAAGGCCGGCCACCTGCATTCTCGGGCTGGAGCCTCTTTCTCCCTCTTTTAAGTCATCAGTGTTTCATCCCTGAACATTCTTCCATCGTCACATCTCTGTCACATCTCCCTGTGGCCAACGCCAGGCCAGGGTCTCGCCTTGAAGTACTCATTGCCACAGTGGGCCACCTGATTAGTACGGGATGGTCTTCCCATCTGGAAGTTCTTAGCTTCATAACTCTGCAAAGGCCCATTTGCCGTAGACATTTTCATGGGTTCTGGAAACCAGGATGAGGACATCATTCGGGGGTGGGCAGAGGCTGGTATTTTGCCTACTACACTTCCTAATTGGTTCTCCTGCCTCCTGTCCCTCATCTCACACTCTGTTGTCTATAATATAGACTCTATATAACTTCTAGAAGCCTTTTAACAGTGGAAATACTCATTTCACTCCCCCGGGATCCTTGAATGACTGCTTCTCGCCTGCAAGATCGAGTGCAGACCCATTATACAGGCTTGAACTCTGCCTTGCTCCTCCTACTCCCCAGCCCCTTCTCTGCAAGCATTGAGTGCTCTCTGGCCCATACTCAGTGTGGCCTGTGGACTAGAATGAGCAACATCACCTGGGAGCTTGTTAGAAACAAAGACTCTCGCGTCCTGCCCAGACTTCCGGAATTAAAATCAGACTTTTTATAGGATCCTCAGTTTGAGAAATACTGCTCTCAACATTCATAGTTTCTTACGTCTTTCTAAATGCACTGCACTTAAACAGAAAGGAACTTATGGGAATTCCTAGAACTAACTAGAAGGCTGGTGGGAAGATACTCAGAAATTGGGGAGGATCCCAGAAACCTGGTGACAGATAAGCTCATGCTACAGGAAAGGTCTGGTTAGAAAGCTGCTGCCAGTATTGTCACCGTGGACACTGGCTTCCGGCTGCTTGTGCCTTTGGAACAGTCAGTGAAGATTCAAAATCCCGGATGGGGCATGTGATTTTTTCCCAAGCCTAGATAATAGGCCTTGCTGCCCCAAAAGACAATCTCAATATTAGAAGGCTTTGGATACTGGTAATAAACATATGTTTTTTAATATATTATGTCATTATATTTAATAAAATTTATAATATTTAATAAAATTAAAATACAGTATATAACATGACAGTATTTTATATATATAAAACATATGTATACCCATTACAGTTACTTGTTTGGCTGCCCAACATTGACATCTACTCTTTTACCCAGGTTTTGGCTTTTAAAAAACCTTCCAACAAGAATTCTGTGCAACTCACTTACTTGTTAAATCCAAATTTCTTCAGCTAAGTCCAGCTGCAGGTCCAGTACTTCTATTCCTCTGGCTCTGATAGGATCTAACCTTAAAATCCAGCACTCTAAAAAATTGAATTCTCAAGTGAACCACCCATATACTATTAGGAGGAGAAGGAGAATAAATAAAAATAAGATTTGTTAAAATATTTAAATGTATACATAACAAAAAAATGAAGAAATATTGGCAGAAGCTACAGTCCTTAGTCATGCAAATGGTCATAAGTTCATAACTTGTATTTATGTCTCTTGTTAAAAAATAATCTTTAAAGGGTAAAATCATGGCTCTTGTACAAATATAAAATTAACACATGCAAAAGTTTTACATAGCTCATTGATTAATGAGGGAACCAGTAAGGTGCTAAAAATACATCAAAGGAGATTCCAACGAGCAGACACATAACCAATCAGGAATGGTGAAATGAATTTTTTAAAAATATTCAACTGAATTCTTGGGAAAATGGGGAAATCAAAGTTTAAAATAGCTCATAAGACATTGAAAAACATGACACCTGTAGAACCAGGATAATTCAGAAGGATGCTCTGGGCACCTGTAGTTCCATGCACATCCGGCATTTTTCCTATTGCATCCTTCTTCCACCATCTAAAGCATGTGCCCTTTGTCTTCAGTCAGAATTGGTTCGGTGAGAGCTTGAGGTCCCTTATCCAGGGTGTGGCCTGAATCTTCATTCCTGAGGAATATGAGGCCTTAGTAATCCTGCCTCTGTGAGTCATTGACTTTTACCTCGGAATGAGACCGTGGTAGGAGGTCCCCCGAGGACCGTTAACTTCCTCCCCTTGCCACAATGTGTAGCAGCAACCCTGGTTCCCTTGATCATCAGGATCAGTCCCCCATTGAAGCCCCTAAGTCCCTTTATTACCCACTTCCTAGTGGCACGGTGGGCCTGAAGTGGTCACGTCTAATCTCTGCTTCTATTTCATTGGACCCAGTTGTATCCCCGCCAGAAGTACCTATCCTCCAGGCACTAAAATTATTTTAAAAATAGAACTCAGAAGTTCAGGGTTGAGAAGCAGAAAGGTTGTGTGAGTCAGACTGTTACAGGCACCTCTCACACACAGAGAGGTATGTTATCCGACAGCCCCCTGAGTCAGAGCGGCTGTCCCCATCTCAGTTCTTATCTGCTCATATGAATGAACCCAAACAAGTGACTCCAGATAACTGTGTTGTGTTAAAGTGAATTTATTAAGAAAGTAAAACATGCAAATTTATTATAGGAACAAGGCAAGCAGTCATCCAGCAAAAAGTTCGGATGGGCATTCTCGGCTAATCTGAGGAGCGAGTGGGGTGGAGATTTCTGCCTTATATGTTTCTGTCTACAGATTTTAAAAACTCTCTGCCGCATATCTTGGGTACAGATTCGTTTTCAAGGTCCCCCTTTCACTTTGTTGTGGCTTTCCCAGAATTTGTGAGGAGCACCTGGCAATGTTATCTTGCCAAGCCTCAAGACGGGTGGCTTTCCTGTGTAGGGAGTGAAATAAACGGCTCTTTTTTCCTCCCCCTTCCCGTCTCCTTTCCTGCGTTCTCTACTCAGAGAGGCTTTTAACCATTTGCTCTCAAGTGTCTTTGGGGCAAGATAAGGGCTTGTTATTCACCAGCCACCTGCAAGCTGTCCGTACTGCGTGGCCTTGTTTAATTTTCTTGTCTCAGTTTCCCTATTCCTCCCACGCTGGAATGTTCCTAGCTTCTTGCTACTTTGTAGTGAAACCAGTGAACCTCAAACTTTAACGTATGAATGAACAGAGGATTTCATTAAAATACAGACTCTGGTCCATAGGGTCTCAGGTGGGGCCTCAGACTGTATTCCTAACGAGCTCCTCCATGTTCCGATGGTGCTGGTCAGGCACGGGCTTTTAACAAATGTCTGCAATCTGGGGATCCATCCACATCATTCCAAAATGTGATCCTGGCCCAGTACCAGTCTCAGCCATCCTTCCACATACCTCATGGTATTGCCAAATCCTTACCTTGTACTTGAAAATGTACTTGGGATTTGCTTTAATCAGGTATGGTAAGGCATGCAGACACAGAAATGACTGTCATGAAGAAAGACGTTATTACTCACAGCTCCTTAAAAGTGGGAGGCCCAGCACACCACCAAGGGCCACAGGGAGCAGCACCGGGATTGGTCAGGAGTCAGGAAGAGGCGGGCAGGTGGGCCACAACCTCTACTGGTTTCTGCAGGGAAGTCGGGCAGGGCAGGGTATCAGGTTTAGGGTTGGCCAGTTGAAATAAGTTCAGCAGGCTGTGGGGTGTGGGGTGTGGGGTGTGGGGTGTGGGGGCTGCCCTAGTAGCCTTGGTGCCTGGCCTGGGGTTATTAGGGCTGGGGAACATTGGCCCAATCTATGGGCTCTGGACTGGTCAGTTTGCATATGGAAAGTCCACACTGGGGCAAGTCTTTTTCTAAGAATTGTCTGGTCCTGGGAATGGAAGTCTCTCCCCAGCCAGCAAGGCCCCAGATGCCAAGCATCAAGAATACAGAAAATAAGAAAATAGTTAGTACACCTGGTGGCAGTGTAGATGCAGTACCTCAGGACCTTTCTCCTTCCGGCTACGTGCGCTGCTCAGAGTGCTGCCTGTGAGGGAATTGCACTTCCTCATTCTCTCAGGACAACCTCGGCTGTGCAGCTGTCCACGGTGAGCTCCTGCCAGCAGATGGTGCCGAGTCAGCTGTGAACCAGGCTCAAATGGTTGCTTTCTCGGTCATTAGGCAGAGGGGATTCCCTGGGAGGCTGAAGCAGGGTCCAGATGCAAGACGGAGTGTGAAATACTCAAGAAATAGGGTGACTGATGTAGAGGAGGGTCCAAAGGTGAGACGAGGCTACAGAGGTGGCCAAGCCTGCTGCCTGCACAGCCAATGGAGCCTGCACAGGCTGCCAGGAGCCCTGGAGCTTGGTGTCATGGGTCCTGGTATCTCTGCCGATATCTGTGGTTCATGGAGGTCTCTAGACTCTGCTTCCCACCCTCCGGCTATGACCTTGGATCACACCTTCTCCAGGAGCCTCACTGCTGGGTCCTGCCCCTGATCAGTCCAGAGGGTCTCCCTAACCCTGCTGTCAATTATCCATCCCAGAGTTGCTCCTGGTCATCTCCTCTCCAATTGGCCATCGCTCCGTCTCTCTGTTCTGGACACCGTGCCGCCCATGCTCACCACATCTTACAGGGAATTTTGGATAGAATCCCGCAAACCTGGCAACTTCTCTTTCGTACCTTGGAAAAAATAGCCATCATTTGGTTACTCCGTGGTTTGATGGGGGAAAACATTTCCTGGTAATTTATTTATGGTTTCCGTCTCTGAGCCACCAGCATTCCATTTTCCTTTTGAGGCTCAGTGAACCATTCTCAGACCGTCTTTTCCGCATGAAAGCATTTTAAAGTGAAGGGGTTCATGGTGGAAACTTCTTTAGGCTAACACTTCGGGTCCCCTCTCCCCCATGCCTCCTTTATCTTTGGCCATAGCCCCACTCTCCCTCCTGAGATTCGGTCTTGTCTTTCCGGAGGCCTGTTGGGCATTCTTCTCAGATGTCTCCTGGGCCCTCAGACTGCCCTCAGGTTCGTGGAGCTCAGCCTCTTCTCCCTAAATTGACCCTTGGTTTACTTTCTTGCTGGTGTGAGTGGCTCCATGTTACACCATGCCCCGACTTCTACAGGCCCCTTTCCTCCCATGTATACCCACCATCTATTCAGCAGGTACTCATGGGGAGCACCTGTTACCTTGAAAACATCCTGATTCTCTATTTTCTTCTCAAAAAGCCACGTAGACCAGTATTTCCCAAAGTATATTCCTTCTCAGTCTTTTTTAAACCATCCTTTCTTTCCCATTAACGATGCCAATCTCCTAATCCAGTCATTCAAAACATATTCACTGAGCACATACTATGTGGCAGGAACTGTTTTGGGTACTAGAGCCTCAGTGGTGTGCAAAAATGATCGGCATCTACTCTCAGGGAGCTTGTAATGTAGTAAGAAAAGCATAGCAATAAGCAGGTGCTTTCAAAGCAGAATGTTCAGTGTTATAACCGGAGCATGTATGACACTGTGAGAGAGAGAAAGGAAAGTATACTTACCCCAACTTTGGACACTTCCTAGAGGAAATGACATTTAGGCTGAGATCTGAGGGCTGAAATATGGAGGCAAAGGAAGACGCACTTGGTTCAGGTTCATTATAACGAGTGGAAAATTCAAGGAAGTATGGGTGAGAGGGTGGGCTTTCTCTGGAGGTAATTAGGATCCAGTTCATACAAGCTCATTGATAACATCTTAAGGAATTTGTGATTTATCTTAACAACAATAAGGGACTACTGTATTGAAGACTTTAAAAGCTTGGAAGGAGAAACATCAAGTTTGGATTTAACAAGATCGTTCTGACTGGAATAAGGAGGACAGATTGGGAAGGAGGCAGAGGCAGAGACACCAAGCAAAAGATGGTATTAGTCTGATGAGTTCCTGCTTTTGGAAGATTAGGATGGGGTGGTTTGTAGCAGCAGTCACCAACCAGTGGTCCGTGAGATCTGGAAGGTTGGCAACCGCTGGTTTGTAGGATGGGTTGGTGAGGGGAAAGCCAAGAGACAAGGGAAATGGGAGAGAGGGGACCACTACCTCAACTCGGGGAGAGAGGCAGTGGAAGTGGAATGGATGCTCACGTGGAAGAGACTTTTAAAAAGATCCAGTTTCTGTAAGGAGCTGGGGGTGAGGGGTTTCTCACAGGAGAGAGTCTTAAGTGACCAGTGAGGATTATCAACACTCCATCCCAAAAACTGGCCTTGCTACAGTTCAATTCCGGGTGTGTCTCTGGAGAGTTACTTGGAAAAATAACCTGAGTGAATCCTGAGTCACTCCTGGTCCGCAGGCCTCCCTGGCTCACCTGAGGGCTAGTGAAGGTCACCTAGGGTCCTCATTGACCTTGAGCCTGGGTCAATTGTGGAGACAGCCCGTTTTCCTCCAGACCCAAGGTTTGCAGCAGTAGAACTAGACATGAGCTTGGGACAGATAGGGGGAGTGGGCTAGAAATGCAGCAGCACGGCCGGGACGTGCCCCAGCATCTGGGCCTTTCCTTCTCCATGTCGGGCAGCCAGCCATTCACCCTTGACCTTCTCTACTAGCTTTGTTACTTTTTCACTCAACAGGTCAAATGGATGATGTACTGGATTATATTTGCACTTTTCACCACAGCAGAGACATTCACCGACATCTTCCTTTGTTGGTGAGTACTCCAAGACCTGGGACTTTCCCCTCCTAACCAGGTTCTCTTCTGGTGCTGGCTGGCCTCCTGCTGTCTCCCTGCTCCTTCTCAGGAGCATCAGGTGGGGGTGGGAGGGTGGTTGTGTTTGTCTTATGAACTCTTTCCCAGGGGCATCGGTATCTCAGTCTTGCTAAATGGAAATCCTGTCTGCTATTTGGTGAATAAATGAATGGTATGCAGGATTCAGACTCCAGAATTGTATGTTACCTGTGCCCTGAGCACTTCTTTCTTTGGGCACCAAAAACAAGCTCTGTTTGCCTTCCCTTGACTGGAGTAGGGTGAGTAGCACCCTCTTTCCTGATAAGACTTAGGCTCCCGTTTCTCCCTCTTTTGAGGCTGAGAAGACTGCCACGGAGGGGAAGCTTTTAGTCTCCTAAAAGATTCTTTGTCGGCTCCGCCCTGCTGTATATCCTGCAGGTGCGTGTTCCTTCCTGGCTGCCAGTGGCAGTGTCTGGGTGAGTGGCACCCGTGTGGCCTGAGCCTGCAGGCCGGGGCTGGAGCGCCCGCTCCAACAGAAATGAGCACAGCCAGCAGGGGTACCAGCTGTTGCCAGGCATGGCGTGGGATTTGCTGAGAGAACTTGGGACCTGGCTTGCTTTGGCAGCAAAATAAAACACCAGCCAGCTGTCAGAAGAGGCCCTGGGCTCGAAGTGGGTGTGCGTGTGTGCGCACACTTTCATGGGTGGGGAACGGAGGGAGCTGGGCCCTGCAGCCCCGTGCAGGCAGGACAGGTGTCTGTGCCGGGTCCGGCCTTTCCCAGGCCAAGGGCAGCATTGCCAAGAACCTAATGGAATGTGTATTTCTCATTTCTCTCCAGGTTTCCATTCTATTATGAACTAAAAATAGCCTTTGTAGCCTGGCTGCTATCTCCCTACACAAAAGGCTCCAGCCTCCTGTACAGGAAGTTTGTCCATCCCACGCTGTCTTCAAAAGAAAAGGTAATTCATGCTGCTCTGCCTTTCACTCCCTCCAGCGAGTGAAAACTCTGAAAAGTGATAAGTAAAAAGGGCAGATTATTTTATCGCAGAAGACCCTTATTTATCCCTAACAAGTTCTTCCATCTGGTTTTTTTTTTAAAGTCTGTTTTTTTGACATGTTTAGAAATAGTTGTGAAATTCTCAGAAAGATATTGTTTGTCATTATCTATTGTAAAACATTTTCATAAATTGAAACAAAAGACATAAAAGATTCACTCATAATTCCACTCCCCAAACTGAATTTCCTTCCTTTTATCATGCTTAGCCTTTCGCAGACATGATTTTTGTTTGTTTGTTTGTTTGTTTTTTAATCCTCACCTGAGGATATTTTTCCATTGATTTAGAGAGAGTGGAAGAGAGAGGGAAAGACAGAAATATCAATGTGAGAGAAACACATTGATTGATTGCCTCCTGCATGAGCCTGGAGGGCCTGGGCCAGTGAGGAGCCTGCAACCAATGTATGTGCTCTTGACCAGAATCGAACCCGGGACCTTTCATTCCTCAAGCTGACACTCTATCCACTGAGCCAAACCGGCTAGGGCCAGACATGGTTTTCACAAAAACTATTAAAATTACTTTTAAAACTTAACATAGGGAGGAAAACAGAAGCATTGAGAGGTTAAAAGACTTTGACTTATATCCAGGTAGTTACCCAGGTAGCTTCTAATAGAGACTGGAATATAAAACTTTCTAGTACAATGTTTGCTTTTTTCATTGATGAAACGTATGCTATCAATGAAATACCTGTTATTTTGGTAATTATCCATTAGTAAGTATTCATGAGGACAATCGTCATAATTTGTTTCATGATCTTTACCTGTTGTGTTTGTTTTGCTTCAAAGTACTTTACAAACATCCTTAAAATAAAAATGTAAAATTTTTTTAATGTTAGAGATGGGGAAAAATAGGTTTGATTCCTAGCCCTGGTCAGGATGAGTGCAGAAGGCAACCAGTCGATGTGTCTCTCTCACACTGATGTTTCTTTCCCTGTCTCTCCCGCTCCTTTCCACTCTCTCTAAAAATCAATGGAAAAAATACACTCAGGTGAGGATTAACAATAACAACCAAAAATTAAAGAATTACAACATATTTTTTGAAAAGTACTTAATTGTGGGCTACTTATAAAATAATGTCACTATTTATAAAATTACTTTTTTTTCAACATCTCTACTGATTCTAATTTGCCAAATTTGCTTTCAATGGATTATTCTATTGTTTCTTTAACGCTTTATACCATAATGAATGCAAAGTCCATTAAAATAAACATTGATTTGTCTTGCCAACTTGTTTGATAACTTCTTTTTTTATGTATACCAGTCTTTATAACCTTTCTTTAAAATAAAATTTTAAGTGCACAAAAAAAAACAACCCTCAAAAACCAAACAAAAAGATAACACAGGCATGGTATTTGCATTCTGAGATCGTAAACATGTTTTTGCATTTACTATAATTCGTTTTCACTTGGTCTTCATCATGACCAAGTGAACATCACCATGGGTAGAGTTTAGTTGTTCTTTTGACTTTTTTTTTTTTAAGTTATAATAAATTCCCAAGAGTGACATTATTGGTTCCAAATTGTATAATTCATTACTTTTATTATGTGACGTTCTAAGCTGACTATGTGATAGGCTTCTTCAGCGTGAAACAGGAGCACTGTGGGTGGCTTTCTGTGTTAACCTGTATTATTATGAAAGTGGAATTCTTTGGACTTCTGGGGGGGCTTTGGGGAACATGTCAGTGGGGTGAGCAGGCTACTGTAGACATCTCTGAGCATCCCTCTAGAAGCGATGACACGGCACTTCTTGCCTCACAGGCTGGATGTTGAGGAATGGCCAGCCCTCTCTTACCTGGTTATCCAGTCCCTCTTCCACCTTCCTTTTCCTGGAGGCTGTCCCCTCCTGAAGCTGCCACTGTGATTTCCATTGAGGTGAAGGCGGCTGACTCCTAAGAACTGCCCAGAATCACTTCCAGGCAGTCAGGTCACAGGAAAACCTACTGTGGTGACTTCCTAGGGAAGCCAAACAAGGAAGGAGCAGGGGTTGACTGCCCAGCTGCACCTCCGAGCCGAGGACATACTTGAATGTGCTGAACCGGAAAGGAGACTGAGGCCACTGTCCCTCTCTCACTGGACTCTGAAATGAGCTAGTGATTACACAGCAGCTGTTGTATGAAACAAAACAACCACAAACAGACACACAACTGGAAGGAATAAGCCAGAGTTGATTCCAATGGGGACGAAATCAGTATTTTTCTTTGTTTTAGTCACAAAGGCAACCTCGTCCTCTGTCCCTCCTTACCTGTACCTTGGGGTATGATGCTGAGGTGACTTCTGATTTCTGCCTTTATTTCATTACCTGCAAAATGACACCTGACTTATCAACAGAAATCACACCTGTCTCTTTCTGTGTCCTATCCCTCCCGACGATAAACACGTGGGGAGCTGTAAGGATATAGTATGGAATGGCCACACAGTCCCAGGGCTTTAGAGCTGCAGGGACCCATGCCCGAGGTAAGGAAGCCTCCGTGTCCACACTGACGGAAACCGCCCTGTGTCAGACGCTTCACGGGGATGTCCTCATGCAACCCTGACTGTGCTCCCCGAGTTAGGGATTAGGTGCTATCTCTGCCCCCGCTGTTCAGAAGTCAGAACTGTGTAGAGGCTACGTACTTGCCGGGGTGTGAGAGCCCACTAGCGCCAGGTCTGAGGTTAGACACTTCATTCTCTGCACCCCAGGGTCCTTCCGTGGCTCAGAGAGTGGCTGTGTTTCAAAATTCCCTTTTCCACTCCCCTGCACCTCCTCTGTCTCTCCCCCGCCCCCTTATATTTACTCGCACACACTCCCAAGGTGCCGGTGACTTCAGTCCCGGGGAGAATGGTGACTGGGCAAGGCGCCAAAGCCCAGGCCTCAGGAGAAGGGAGAAAGAACAGAGGTCCGTCGGAACCTTCCCGCTCAGTGTGTCTCTGTCTTTCCTTTGACAGGAAATCGATGATTGCCTGGTCCAAGCGAAAGACCGGAGTTACGACGCCCTTGTGCACTTCGGGAAGCGAGGCTTGAACGTGGCGGCCACAGCAGCGGTGATGGCTGCCTCCAAGGTACCGTGCTGGGCCCTGACCTCACGCCGCACGAGCGTCTCCATCCCTCCAGCTTGCCCTGCTCACACCTGTGCCACCTGCACAGGACAAGCTGAGGACCAGGCAGTGGTTCCTTATCCTTTTGGGGGGGGGGGGGTCCCTTGAAAATCTAACAGAAAAAATGGTGAATCTTGCCCCCAGAAAATTGCTGGCACACACACACATACAACGTACACAATGTTAAGAAGCTCCTCTGAGGGTCCCAGGTCAGTGCCCTCTAAATTTCTGGGAGCTCCAGCCTCGGGGAAATAGAGGAGGGAAGGGAGGGAGAGCTTCTCTGCAGCCTCCCAGGGTGCACTGGGAGAGTCACCTGACACAAGCTAGACAGGCGGAGGCTCCCTGAGCGATGGGCTCCACTCTCAGGGCCCAGCAGCCCCAGCGAAGACCCAGGCTCCCAGCGGAAGCTGAGCAGCTCAGACTGGAGGGCGAGCATATGTGTAATCGCAGCAACGAGAGGGGGAGGTTTGAAATAAACACTGGTCTTGTGGACTGTTGAGGTGTAAGCTTTACTTCCCTCTCTTTTCCATCCAGGCTGTTCTGTTCGCAGGTCCTCTGTGTTTCTTCCTAGCTCCTTCTCACATCACTTTCTCCCAGTCGTTACGTCAGTTCCTTGTCACGTGTTCGGCCCTGAGACATGAAGGTGGTAGATGTTTGCTCTCAGAATAAGTTCAGCAGATGGTCCTAGTTTTCCTGGTGACTATCCTCCGCCCCAAATCCACGTGTGGGGACGTGAGCTGTACTAGCAAAAGGAAGCTAGTCCTGGGCGGCGATGTGGGGTTCCTGGCAGAAGGAAGTAGAGTTGTGAAAGGGTTTGGAAGAGCTGAAACCGGTTTGGCTCAGTGGATAGAGCGTCGGTCTGCGGACTGAAAGGTCCCAGGTTCGATTCCGGTCAAAGGCATGTACCTTGGTTGCGGGCACATCCCCGGTAGGGGGTGTGCAAGAGGCAGCTGATCGATGATTCTCTCTCATCCATGTTTCTAACTCTATTCCTCTCTTCCTCTCTGAGAAAAATCAATAAAATGTTTTGTTTTGTTTTTTAAAAAAGGGGGGGCGGGGGTTGGAAGAGGGCGATGAGGGTGGATCTCGGTGCTCCGGGGGCTTTGAGAGGAAGGTGTGACGGATTGGCCAACAGCCAGCTGGGTCAGCAGACTGAGCGGGATTGTCTGTGCCCTGGTTTGGAGTGAAGCCCATTAGTAACAATTCTGGGAGAAAGACTCAGTACCCGAGACTGAGTGTCTGTTTGAAAAGCACCTTCCACCTGTCAGTGGAATGTTCTGCACACAAATGCTGGAGAGAGAAGGAGGACCAACGGGGATGGTTCCCATGTCAGGGGATCAGCTCCTCTGAGACAGAACTTTGTCCCACTGTTACCCGCGGGGCCTCGCCCACCTCGGTGCAGAAGCTGCTGCCGGGTGATGGGGCCCAGTGAGTATTTTGGAGGGAATGTTCCTCTTTGGTGTCCCAAGGAGATGTATCAGGATTTATAAAGAATTCCAAGATCTTTCTGTTTGCGAGGCAACCATTTTACGCTTTTATTTTTGAGCTGAAAGAAAAGAGAACTCAGAATTACTGAATTTTGAATTCATCAGGCCAACTTTACAACATACAGCTACAGAAACCTTCCTTCAGCTCTTCTCTCTGCCCCATCTCCTCTGCTTCAAAAGTCTGAAGGAGGATGTGTTACTGCTCCTCCCCCAGCTCGGAGCATAGATGTGGTACATTCATCAGGGTAGCTCAATACTGGCCAGCTGTCCACTCAGCCACTGTGCATACATTTTCTTCTGGTGGAGATTCTGTAGGACCATCCTTCCCCAGGTCTGCCTCCGCTGGAGCTGCCAGTGTCTTGATACCATCATGGCCCGTCACCACCGGCCACTCTGACTTCCTTGGGAAGCCCTGAGCCCGGGCCTCCTGCCAGGCACCTGCTGATAACTAACATACAGGAAGCTCCAGACAGTCGGAAACTTGTCTCAGGAAGTAACTTCTCTTAGTTCTTTCCAGATGGACGAACGTAGGGAGGGATGCCTGCTTCCTGCGGATTGGGGCTTCAGGAGAGAGCTTTCTGCCTTTGGGAGATTTTGCTTTTTGACTCTAAATATGTCTTGAGAGAAGAGACAAATCTCTTCCAAAAATAGTGCCCTCTATTTTTGAAACAGTTTACTCTTATTTTTTTTTTTACTAAAAAAAGAATTAAATGCCGATTTGGTTGAGAGGCACATCAATGGTTTCCATAGCAAGAATGGATCACTCCAAGCAGGGGTCAAAGGACAGGGGTGGAGTTCAGCTTTCCTGTCTATACCACCTGGGAAGCTTTATTTTTCACTTTTTTTAAAACTATATTTATTGATTTTGTACAGAGAGGAAGAGAGAGAGATAGAGAGTTAGAAACATCGATGAGAGAGAGTCATCGATCAGCTGCCTCTTGCACACCCCCCACTGGGGATATGCCCGCAACCAAGGTACATGCCCTTGACAGGAATCAAACCCGGGTCCCTTCAGTCCCCAAGCCGACGCTCTATCCACTGAGTCAAACCGGTTTTGGCTATTTTTCACTTTTTAATAGGTTCTCAGATATGCTGAATCTGAATCTCAGGCAGTTGACTCATAAATCTCTATTTTTAAAAAATATATATTTTTATTGATTTTTTTACAGAGAGGAAGGGAGAGGGATAGAGAGCTAGAAACACCGATGAGAGAGAAACATCCATCAGCTGCTTCCTGCACACCCCCACTGGGGATGTGCCCACAACCAAGGTACATGCCCTTGACCAGAATTGAACCTGGGACCCTTCAGTCCGCAGGCCGATGCTCTATCCATTGAGCCAAACCGGTTTTGGCATAAATCTCTGTTTTTAACAACTTCCCCAGATGAGTTTTTAAACAGCTAGCTCTGTATGGGTCACTGCTTGAGGCCCCATCCAGAACCATAAATGCACAGGTGACTCAGGTTAAAACCGTTAACCTCTTTAACATTCCTGGATGCACACTTAGCTCCTTAGAAGCATTAACCTTGAGAATGAGAAAGCCAAGCAGGAACGGCCCTGCTGATTCCCCCAGTGGAAGAGTCACAGCAATCAGTGGTTGAGCATGGACCTGTGAACCAGGAGGTCACGGCTGATTCTCAGTCAGGGCACGTGCCTGGATTTCGGCTCAAGCCCCAATAGTGGGCATGCAGAAGGCAGCCAATCAATGAATGTCTTTCATCATTGATGCTTGTATCTCTCTGTCCTTCGGCCTTCCTCTCTGAAATCAATAAAAATGTATTTTTTTAAAAAGATCACCCATGGCTAGAATGACCATGTAATGTATTGTCCAAACCAGGACACATCTGAGAGTGGAAGGGGAACTGTAAGAATGATGCTGGACAACAGGTATAACTCGGCCTGCCCCAAGCAAACAGGGGTTGATGGTCACCATTTTACATCTCTTTGACCCTGCCTGTCTTTCCAGAAAGCACTCTCAACTCACAAATCAGTTCTCACTCTAAATACCGACTGTATTTAGCCACATGGATGCAGGAGAGGTGTGAGGTAAGCGAAAGATTCTTGGTTTGAAGGGATTAAAAAGAGGCTGGAACCAGGTGACTTTTTTGCATCCTTTGATGGTTGCCTCTGAGGAAACTTACCTGCTTACCTGGAAAAATAAAGGTCTTTTGGCTATGCTCCCAGTTAAATTTTTTCCCCTTATAACTTTGAGCCCTGAACCCTTCCATTTAAAAAAAAAAAAAGAATGTTTGCAGGGTTTTTGTTTGCATCACCGTGGAGTGTGTTTTTAAAACCATATCATTGTACAAATATAAGTTGTTGTTATTGTTAATATCACATTAGAAATGGAAATGATAAAACAAAAAAAAATGACACACGGGAAACTTCTCTCAGGCCTGTGACCCCTCAGCCCACCCCATGTTTTCCCTCGGTGGAACCCCTGTCCCTGGAAGTGTTGTACCTTTTCTGTGTCCTCCCTGCAGACACCCTTCTCCAGCACCTTCCAAGTGTCCCGTCTCTGCCTGCCTCCTTCCTGACCTTACCTGTTTCCTAGCCTGTAATTACACCCCCAGGGAAACGGAGCCACCAGGTCTCGTGGAAGCCAGACTTGGAAATCTCTCTTACCTTTTTAAAAACAATGCTCTGGAAACTCATGTATTAAGCAAAACACATTCTCTCACAAAAGAACCATAGTGAAACCAATGGATCAAGACCATGAGGTTTCCAGGCCCCTTAATCCCCCTTGAACCACATCTGAGGTCTCTTCTGCCTGCCAAGTCTCAGGCCTGGTAAACAGACCTTGCTTTCCACTGGCCTCAGAAATTGAAAATAAGGCTTCGTTCCTGCCCGTGGGATCCCCTCTCCAGAGCGGTGGCCTAAGTTAAGCCGGCAATCTGGGGATCAGGGATTCTTCTTCCCCAGAGTGTGTGAGGGTTTCCCCCTAGAATCCAGTATTCCCCGTTGGGTTGGCAGCTTCTGGAGGTGAGGGGCTCTGGGTTCTTTTCCTTTTTTCTTACTTAGAACAAAACAAAACCAAACAGTGCCCACTTGTTCGGTGTTTTACTGCATAGCTGCTTGTTAAACTTGATGATTGACTTGAAGAATAAACCTTTATTATTTCTCTAATCCTGCTCTGTTCAACGTGGTGACTCCTTGCCACCTCTGACTATTTACATTCAAGTTAATTATAAGCAAGTAAGCGTAAAACCCAATTCCTTATCCTAGGATGCCATTGTGTGTCCTCAGCAGGCGCCATGGCTGGGGCTGGCACAATGTGGACGTTTCCACCCCCGCAGATGGCTGTCCTGGGAGCACTGCTCCCAGCCCTCTGCTAAGCCTCTTGGTTCTCTTTGCCTCGCCTTCACCCCTTTGCCTGCAGAGCTCTGTCCTGACAAGGACCTCCACTTATCCACTCAGCACTTTGGAGCTCTGTATAGGAGGCTCACTAGGAAAACAGGAGATGGAAACTCAGCCTTT